CTATTATTCTGTCAATATTTCAAAAACAGAAAGCTGTATAAAACACTTTAATCAACCACGGCCATTCCACGATGAAACATTTTGAAGTCATATAGCAAAATAAGTCAAGTCATCATATGATACCAACACCTTGCTAAAATCCCCATATCAACTTTCAATATCGATCGAACAACCATTATTGCATAGCGATACATAAGCCGTTAACAAAACCGAACATGCTGATAAGTTTTATTATCAACTTCGTCAGACAAATTATTGTTACCGAATGTTGATATCTTCTGTATCACAGAAACTAAACAATTTACACCCGACACACCGAACAAACATAGAAGACATACACAGCAACACAGGAACGAAGAGAGCATCGTCAATGCAAAATGGATCCATCAGCCTCTAACCATTGCGGGATTCACGTTTAATACAAGAAACACAACAGACATTTCCCGATACTTTTATGTTTTTATGATACAGATAATGTATTTCAGTACTTAAAATAACTCACAATTTTATAGACAATGGATGTCATTTATTCATTCAACATTTTAATTCAGAATTCCCAAGTTTCCATAGCACAAAGCCAATAATTAATATTATTTGACTAAATTGTAAAATGTAAATTAACTGACGACACGCTTATTCTTATGTTATTGATGGAGTGTGTTTCGGCTCTTGCCAACCAGTCTTTTGGCATCCCAGACCCTTTGTCACCTGGCCATTTGGATGTCAGTTATTTCCGTGAAAGATAAAAGATACGTCTGAAGTTATAATTGTAATTTTTGTGTTTGCGATTCAATATTTAACATTTATTTCCGTAAAAATCATCAATATAAAATACAGTAAAACACATAAGTAATAAATATTTGAAAAAAAAAAAAGATAGTGGAGTGCTATGGGTAAGAGTATACCAATTAAATTGTATATCAGTCGGTTTTATCAGTCAACTTCTGGGCAACCAAGATAATGCAAAAATTATTCTGCAAACAAAAACTATCCTATTAATAGGTAGGCCTACTAATAATTAAATATTAAGTAGCCTGCTATAAACAAACATTGATATAAAGATATAATTATCTTATTATTTATAGAGGTTCACATTACGGAAGTACAGTAGTATTTTTTTAATACCAAACTGAGTATGTCTGCGTAGTATGTAAGTAACAACTCAGACATGATAGTTTAGGGACACAGTAGAATAATTTTGAACAGCAGAATATTATTCAAGACAGCAGTTATTATAGATCTCTGTGAAAATATGGACACTAATCCTATATGCAGTGAAGCAGATCAACAATGTGTTCATAAATCATATCAAAACATCACCCGATGATATAGGGCATAGCAATAACAATACAATGGAGAGGTTAGGCCATGTAAATACACGCGATACAATACTGTTGACAGGTTAGCGTACTAAATTTATATACCTGTAGACATAGAAAACCTTTTGAAAATGAATTGAACAGAATTCCAAGAGTCTATTTAAGCTGTTTAGAAGACCTGTTGTTGTGAAAGTCATTCTCATCAAACTGTGCTTCTTTTTACCTTGAGTATAATAGGTACCTGCGCCTGTTCACAATTACTGTACCTAACAAACACGGAAATAACTAGGATACAGTTGGACCGTTAAAAATATCCAACATAATTTCAATTGCTATAGAAATTGTTTTCAAAAGCATTTTTTAGTGTATTGTAACGTCAAACCAATAGTGGATAAAGTACTTGAGCAGGCAATGAATTGTGTAACTTTTGAAAATATATTTGAATAAATTCAAAGGATTCGAAGCCCACCAGGTTGTTGTAGTGCAAGGCATATTAATTAGCTGACTGTAAGAAGACTGTATTTAAACTGTCTAATTAGCTGACTGTAAGAAGACTGTATTTAAACTGTCTACAATGATAATAATGCTACAGATAGCCTATATTTTGTTGTAGAAGTTTAAAACTAAAATTGGGTGAAAGGAATTTTAGAGGTGGGTGAGCATCTGTAAGCCTATTTGCATCTGTTTGGATACACAACACTGGACCCCAATGTTGAGTAAATCGTTCAGGACAGATGGTATTGAGGATGTAGTGTAAAAACAGATCGTCACACCAGAGAGCCTGCAGTCACAATATATAATTTATCATTGTCATTGTCGATCGCTGTCACTGCCACTGCTATCAGTGGTGGTGCCAGCGAGGATGGCAAGCAGGGTAAATCCCTTTCCTGTTGGATAGACTGGACCCCCGTCGTCCGACTCCACAACGAAGTCGTCTGATTTGCCTATAAAATATAAGGTTATTTTGATTGCTAATCCCAAATATTGTAGTCTAAAAGCTCAATTTGTGCGGCTGGGCCATACTAAGGCACAAAAACTCTCTTCCCGTGAACCCTACCAGGGATATTTTTTTTTTTATTCCGAGTCCATGACCGAGGCTCTAGTCGGCCCCATTGGAGGCAACGCTGACTCTAACTCAGAGTAGGTGCTAGGGGAAATCAAGCGTCTCTCCACTTGGAGAGACCTTTACCCTGAAGGGGAGAAAAAAAATCACAATTCCTCGGAAAGAAAAAAAAAAGAAGCTATGCTCGACCACGCCCGTCAGGGACAACGGCCCCTCCGTCGAATACCTCGCCCCCACCCACTCTGTCGGGAAAATCCTTGCACCACTCCTGACACTGAAGCGATGCGTTCAATTTTGGTTCCATTTTTCTGTACTGAATATTATTCTGCTACTAGTAATAATAATATACAATGTAAGAGCAGCTTAGCGGTCGGAGAAACCTGTGTGACGTGTTCATGCATCGTAGAGAACGGATGAGACGTTCAAGCCCTTGGCTCCAGGTGCGCATTAACGCAGTAGACGCTTCAGAAAAATTTAAGGGTGTATGTTTAAAAAAAATGCAGTGTACACTTTTCGAAAACGGGTAGAGGATTGACTCCAGGTGTACTGCCCAATCACCACCATAAGAACTACACTGGAAATAAATGCCATACTTTTCGTCTTGTTTGCGAATATTGCAGTCACGGCTAAAAACATCGTTAACATCAAAGATCTTATAAACACAAGATAGCGTTCTCCGCGATTTACGCGTGCAAATTCTGTAATAAGGCATGAATGGCGCCCTCTTGCTAAATTGGAAACTTTTGACCTTTGACCGCTATGACCATACCGTACTGTGAACAGCAGAACAGGAACCATTGTAGAAGTGGTTGGCGCAACGGTTGTGGTTTGGACTCCCAACCTCGAGGTCGGGGGTTCAAAACTCTCGCTGTGCAAGTCGCTTGTGTCCTTGGGCAAGGCACTTTATCTACGGTTGTCTCTCTCCACCCAGGAGTAAAAGTGGGTACCTGGTAGGTTCAAACACAGCCTGCGCTGAATACAGCTGCAACATTATGGAATTCCCCCATGGGGCCTGAGTGTGTGTTCCATATGTGCTTGATCCAGTGATCCGGGGTAATAATGTTCAGCGCATAGAGAAGTTTGATATGCGCTATATAAGTATACAATAATAATAATAATAATAATCTCAAATCCATGGCAACAGATAGGACGCCCTCTTCCAAAACTGATTACTTTTTCTCTTTGGTATAATAGTGCATGAATGGCGCCCTCTTGCTAAATTGGAAACTTTTGAACCTTGACCGACGCTTCTATTTGTTATGCGTAAATCGCGGAGAACGCTATCTTGTGTTTATAAGATCTTTGGTTAACATACAATGGTCTATAGAGGGAGTACTACAAATAAATTAATAGAGATGAGGAACAGTTCTGTGAAATACCGAATCTGTTCAAACATAGACAGAATTTTATCAAGTGACCTTTCACCTACAGAATTAAAGGTCTTAAAGTAAAGCATACATAATCTGTGTAATGATCCTAATATAACACTAATGTCAGCACTTATTGTCAATCCCTCATAGGTTTTTTAACTTAAATATTATTCTTAAATTTTTAGAAAAGTGGTTCCCAACCAGGTGTATGCGGACCATTTAGGGCCCACAAAAACTAATTGGGGGTTCGTGGTAACGCACGCATAATGAAAAACCAATCTTTGCGCTTCTACAAAATAAATAAAAAAATGCAGACATTTTCAACAAAAACAACAGTTTTTTTCATAACTATCTAAGTGGTGTACCGCAAGTTTAAATAGGCCTATACGTATATAGGCCTATTATAAATGTCAAGAAAGCCTCCCTACAGACAAGGACTTATAACTGTTACTGGTGACAGTTATAAGTCCTTGCTACAAACTCCCACAACATACAAATCGAAATTGTTTATGATTTTTCAGACCTTTAATTCAAATCTTCAAATTAATAGAATATTTTTCATTTCCAATTTTTAATTGCAAGTTAATACCTAGGCTTACTTAAATATAAATTAGGCAATTCAAATGTGGAATTAATGTTTTTTTACTTCATTGCTGCAGACAGTGCATCTTTAACATTCTCGTCTTTTGCTGATAAACTGTGTGATTATTTACTTGTGCTGCTAATAAGGTAGAAAATCTCTGTTGCCTTTTATACAAATATTTACCTTCAAAGAGTTTCTAAGATATATGCTTCTATGTATGATGAAATGAATAAAGAAATGTTTATAGAATCTAGTCTGGGTGTTTTTATTTTGCCTTTTATACAAAACCTTTAACGTTTATTGTAAGGGTCTTGAGGTAAAATCAATCTGATATGATAGTAAAGTCTACAACAAAACAAATAGACAAAGACTGTTATAATTATATTACATAATATTATAAAAGCAAATAAGCAATACTAAAATTCTTTGCTGTAACGTTAATATTATGGCTTACGATGATAACAAATCAACAGTTCAATGTTGCGAAAATCAAAACATGTCCTCAATAATTAGTCATTAGAGGTGCACCATACTTCTTCATCCCATCCGCACGTCGTCCCCTCAACCAAAATGATCATCGCACTACACCTAGGCCTAGGTTACGTAAATAAACTTCTTTTTAAAACAATAAAAACATTAAAACTCAAATAAACGCAGTAACTCACCGAGTCTTCCAATGTCAAATTTGTCCGAAGACGAATAATAAATGAATGAAACGGAGTCAGAATAGGCCTAATAAATTAGTGATAAATTACGAATTTTATAAGCATAGGTTAGCAGCTAGCGTACGAACTGACTTCTGCCTTGTTATCTTATGGAGCGCAACATGCGCACAAAATAATAAAAACCCCGGAATATAAATATAATGTGATTTGCCCATATTATGGCCAAATCACATTATATTTGTCACAAGCCTAATGTGACGTAGCTCTAATGATTGTCTTCTTGCCTGTAGCTTAGTGTGGACGTACCTCTTATGATTGTGTCTTCTTGCCTGTAGGTTCACCTGGAACAGGCAACATTCGTTATGCCCCTTTCCCACATTCACGATTTTTGCTACGATAGAGCACGATTTTTGAGTTTTGAAAAATCGCAATGGCGTCGTCGTAAATGTCGCGGTAAAAAATAATTCATCGTATTACATCGTACTACATCTTGATGTCATCGTGATAAAGCACGATTTTTTTTGTTAAAAAAAATCGTGCTCAATCGTAGCCGTGAAAAAGATCTTGGTCTACCGTAGCGGCATCGTGTGAGTGGCGTAACGTTATCGTCGTTTGTCATGACTGTGTCTTGTCCATTCCTACTACCAACAACACCTGCGACAAGCCAACGTCGCTGCGGTGCTGAGAGGGTACGATGCCACCAGGATACCATCAAGACACTTTTCCGGGTGTCAATCAAACAAACTGTAGCATCTGAGCCCTGTATAAAAAGCCAATTTGATATATTTAATAACATTTTAACAATCTTACTTCATAGATTTACTTTGATGACTGATAACCATGGTGATAAAAACTTCTGTGCAATACAAACTAAGACACTTTAAAAGGTATAAGAGAGCATCCAGCAATAAAAGTGCCATATTTTTTTTAAAATGTTATACCTCAGCCCCAACCATAATACCTTTTAGCACCCCTCTATCCAACACGTACCCCTAACGAAACATACGGGATCCTCCTCTGTTTTCTCATTTAATTTTAAATTTAATTATTAGAAAATTCAAATAAAATGGAATTGATCTTTATTTTGTTTTAAAACTCATAACGGTACGTACACTTTGTCAATTTGGTGGAAGAAAATCTCAACCGATTGTTTCGGCTACTTTTGTAGCCATTACAATGAAAACACTGTGCCACAGTGTAGCTATCATTATCATCATCATCATCGTTATCGTCATCGTCATCATCATCATCATTATTAATATTATTATTATTATTATTATTATTATTATTATTATTATTATTATTATTATTATTATTATTATTATCAAATACAGGCTTAACGTAGTCATGTTATTATCACAGAGTTTTTGAACAATACCATTATCATTTTATTAGAAAAAAACAACAATACAAACCAAAATAATTACATGTTTAAAATAACCACACAATTGCTATAAACAAACCTAAACGTAAATAGGCCTACGTAATAATATACTTACCTATTATTCAATAATAAAAAATACATAAACTAAATATTCTTAAAATGAAAGCAACATAATAATTCAAGGATTTACTTAATACGTTCTTGTCTTAAGTATATGGAACTAATAAAACGGAATCTTGTTTAAGAAATACTAATACTAGATTCGTCGGAAGTCTCAAAACATATTAACATTAAATTTCCGGATTTAACAGCGTCAGTTTTGATGAGACTAAACGTCTAACCGTGGGGGGGGGGGTGAATGGCAGGCCCGACAATCCCGAACACAATTAAATTTTCAATCGGGTGTCATTGGGAACAAAACTACAGTGATCATAAGTCAAAACGTCAAAACGTAAGTTCCTTTGTTTTCTGCTTTATCCAGAGATATAAAGTTTATATATTATATAAGCTTATATAATACTATAATACTATAAAACATATATTTATAATAATTTATTAGCACAAGTCAAGCCATATAAAATACATTTGAAAACTTGGAATTAAGGAAAAAGTACATTAAAACAAATAACACAGATAATACTATACATCCAAGAACTAATACTGATAAATACATAAAAATATATATACAGGTATAGTAATGAGAATTAAATCGCAAAATTTTGCAAATGCATTTTGCACCCTAGTTTTTTAATTATATAAATACTTGTCGTTACTTGTAAAAACAAAGCCATCGCTAACTACCTCCACTGTAATGAATGTTTCTCTCAAGTTACAGCCCACCATAACCAATTAAATACAACTAGAATTGAAATCATAAACTCTAAACCAATGTCAATTTCATTCAATCACACATTTTTTTTTACATCTTTCAGTACGATATTGTTCATTACATTCACACTGCATGGACGAAAGCTTGTGTATCAATAATGTTCTACCAATTTCTGTTGCTCTTGATCATTAATCTACTCTGGGTGAACATTGTCACCATTTCTATTATTTACACAATTAATTATCAAGAAGGCTAACAAAACAGAAATCAAAACAAAGAACAGGAAGATGTCATTGACATTTGAATTATCTGAAGCTTGGTTTCCATAGAATCGCTACACTGTCGCAGCGTTTTCACTGCAATAATTGCATTGCGCAGCTGTCCCCGATGCAATCGGGAACATTCCCTGATTCGACTGACCAATCAGTGTCACCAGAGCAGTCGGCGGAGAGCGTGTAGCGATTTTTATGGAAACTGCAGGCTTAATCGATAATTAGGAAAATTTCTTCTTATAATCTATTTTTAAAAAGCTAGAACAGACTATTTTGAATTGTTATAGTAATTTTGTTCCAAACATTCTACAGCGATTTTCAATACGCTATTAATTACGGAGCAGCTTGAAAATGGTGGAAATGGTGAAAATGGAGTAATGGCATATTTCGTTCAATATCTATGCTGGTCAAACCATATAAATATTATTACACAAGTAAGATGGTGCAATACTACAATCATGTTATATGGCTGTAAATAGCTTTAGAATTTCCTTTAAACAAATTTATTTGGAATCAATCATTTATTTTATAATTTCTTTTTCATTCGAAATATAAAAGTTGTTTTCAACTTTTATATTTGGATGAAAAAGAAGATTTTATACTGTAACGTTGTTTATTAGTTGTGACGATGTATAGTATTTGTTTTACTATACTGTAGCTGACTTCTGTACTTCACGTCTTCTGGTTGTACTGTACTTGATTTAAACACAATTAGCACACTTCTTGGTCATCAACTCCAGCAAACCAATGTACTTCAAACAATTCAGCCAACACAGATATACTGTAATTTCAAATCTTAATTTTAATGTCGACTCAGCAATCAACTTAACAGAGGCATTCACGGCGCCCTTGCCGGAAGAGAGAACTTCAGTCTTGAAGTGTTGTACCAAACCTAACTAAATTTAAGTTTCCCACTATAATTATACCAAGCCATCATTGGTATGTAAACCAATCACATACAAGCCTATAATCACATGATCTCTCATTAACCAATCATAAAATATCAATGATCTCTATACAGTAAAATATACAATGCCCAGCATCTGCCAGCTTGCATTGTCTCATAAATAACCATGTGTATATATAAAATAAACATTTCACTTCCTTAATGTTGCTCCACCCAATATAATCAAATGTAACAAACAATGTAGAATAAATTCTACAATCACCAAGTATTAACAATTAAATACACATAATAGGTCTACATATACAGTACTCCATTACACATACCAATAGCTTTAGAACGTGTTAAGTGCTTCAGCTTCGGCTATCATTTCATTTTTCATAAGCCTTTAAATGAATTCTTTTCTTGTGTCCACAGTAAGTATTTTCTGTATTCCATATTAGACACCAAGGGTCTGTTAGTTCTTTAACGTTAAGGTTATACAAATAACCAATGCGATCTTTACTGTCTTCGTTCATAGCTGTGTCGAATTTCATCAAATTTCTTCGATTATCTGAAAAGTTACGTATTACAACTTTACTTAAATCTGGAAATGTTGGTACCATTTTCTTGATATTCAATTCTACACCGCGCTGCTCGCATAAAATTACAACCTCGGCAAGAACATCTTGAACAGAACATGTTTGATTGGCTAATAAGACCATTATCCAAAAGCAATCGAAACAGTTCGATTGGCTTATTCAGCTCCTGTAGTTTGGTTACCTGAATACAGTCAAACTCGCTAAGTAGGCCTAAGGGCTCATTAGCTCGTAGGCACCACAATAGAACGTTGGCAAGCTTGACAAACCAAAATATTCAAAGTAATGACCGAGTAAATACTGACCAAGTGTATACTTAAATAAATTTAACAAAAATAAATCAGTTTAAAGAAAGATTTTTGTTGGCTTCGAAACGTAAAATAATATGTGTATCCGAGAAAAACCGTAACGGAGCCGAAAACGTCTAGCTATGTACCCGTTTTAAAGCGATGGCTAGGGGATATGACCGGTTGAGCCGCCGACAAGTTGAGCCGCTGGTAATTTCTATGGAACGCCAAGCGCGTCTCTCAGAATGTACAGTAGTCGGCTTGCCGATGTCATCAGTGAATGAACCCCCCGGATACCAGCTACTGTACATATTCATCCCACAGTCTTGTCAGTCGTTGATTTGCTCGTATTGCCGTTCGTGATGTATAATTGAAAATTAGAATTTTGATATTTTTATGTACTACATTTTTATAAAAATATATGAAGTTGTATAATTGCAAAATCGTATTAAAAATGTAATTTTATGTACTACATTTTTATAAAAATAAATGAAGTTGTATAAATGCAAAATCGTATTAAAATGTGTTTATTTACGTTTGGTTTGCGGCGTATTTCAATTAACTTATTCGTTATTTGTACTATTTTGTTTAATTATTTAATTAAATTATTTATTATATGTAAGTTTAACAAATAGTACAAAAATAAAAAGTATATAAATTACAAAACCATAGTAAATACTGTATAATAACATAGGCCTAACACATTTAAATTTATTATTTATTATTCATGCAAAATCGTATTAAAAATGTAATAACTTGATTATTTTTTACATTTGGTTTGCAGTGTATTTCAATTAACTTATTCGTTATTTGTATTTTATTTATTGTAAAATATACCGTAAGATAATGAATACGATTTTTCATTCAAGCAACCTTTAGTTGTACAGTAGTAAAGAATATGTTAGGCCTAGATCTGGTCGTGGCTTGACAGCTTAGCGCGAGAGATCCGATGTTGTATGCATATATCGTCGTCGCGCTCGGATTTCAAAATTATGCCTTCTATTTTACCGATTTTACGCGTGCATCTATGGCCCGATTTTGATAAAAATACATGTCTGTTTTAGATTTTATGTTCTAAATGTTAATTTCGGAAGTGGTATTTCTCGAATTTGTATGAAAAAAAAAAATTGCCGAGCCGATTAAAAAAAAAATCGGTCGGTCGCGGAGGGCAACACAACATTTTTTGGGGGGGGGGGTGGAGGCTTACAATGTTGTCTGCTTATTTTACAATTACAACATCAAACGATTTACCTGGCATCCGCTCTTCATGTGTGGAATCTGTGAACATGGGCATATGAGGTAGATCCTTAGACAAGGATGCATCTTGAATATCTACAAGTATATGAAGAATATGTATTTCACATAGGTTGTTACTCATTTATTTAAAAAATAACTGATAATTTATTTAGATTTAGACTTCGTTTAATATAGACAGAGGGATAACAGAGACCCAAAGTGTGAAAAATCTAAGCTCAAATCCATGAAATTAAAAATGGAATGGTAAACTGTTACGTCAAACAGTACTTTATGGATGAACAGCTGCTCTACATGAATCACGTCTTACACAGGAGAAGAGTGGGGAACAACAGCTAGCTAACATCAACAAATGTACAATGATCGGTGCTTACAGTTTACTATATTAAGTACATTTAATGATGGTCTGATAGTGCTACATATTTTTTGTTTGATTAATGTTGTTTCAATGTAAGTACTCCAGCAAGATGTGTTTTTTTTTTTAAATATATTTTTGTGGTTATCTTTAGTAAATTTCTGTTTCACTATTCTTGTTATCGTTTACAGTAGTTAATTATTATGCGTAATAATTGGGGGTTTTTCGATACTGAATAAATTCAACCAATAGGGAGAAATGAATAAAGATATTTTGTTGAGATTGTTCAACACACTGACACTGAACAGAGAACGAATATAGAAATGTTTGTAATAGAAACCAACCTTCTTGAAACAAGACCTTAAAACGAGATGTGTTCATTTTCAACTTTCCACATGAAACCCTATCGTTTTCTAAACATTTCTCAAGAGTATGTAAATGAGGTGGGTGCGTTGAATGGCATTCGCTGCACAAGACGCGTAACTCGTAACCGATTCCTACTGTTGTACCATACACAGTCTTCAGTTGATGCTTGAGATAGTTTAATACCTACAGAGCATAATAGAAAAAAAAGTATTATTATCTGTATATTACGTACAGTATACATTTTATATTGTGTTGTTGTATTGTACTGTATGTAGTAGCAAGCTAGACAGTGAAACTGTACAGTTTTCGCACATGACAGTTAATATTGGTTTTCAAGGTAGGCGCATATCACCGCATATGCCTATGAATTATAGCCATTAGTCTTGTCATCATCAATACTATATATTTTCCTGATGCAAACACACATCAAAATATCATCATTATCATCGGTATCATTATTATAACCATTATATCATTATTATTATCATTATCATTATATCATTATTATTATCATTATCATTATAAATCTTTCCTGTAAGATTAACAAGAATTATGGGACAGCATAACAAAGATTAAATACAGTTAGAATGTAACAATACAATCCAATCACCGGGGTAGTAATGTGAAGCGCTTAGAGGCTTTATGCATGAGGCGCTATATAAGACGGACATATTATTATTATTGTTTACCTCCATACAGACACTCGGGTGCGGTTCTGATATTACTTGTTCACCATTTGCATCTTTATCAATCCGATGTGTTATTTCAAGTTACAGGGAAAACAAAATTAAAAACGTAATTCAGAAAATTTACATAGCACATTATTGGTAACAATAATAATAATAATAATAATAATAATAATAATAATAAATAATAAAAATAATACTTAAAAAAACTGGACTAATGAAATTCATTATCTATAAAAATAATAGAGTAATAAAATTATTATAACAACAATGATAATAGGTTTCATGGAATACTAAAACCTACTTTTAAATTCTAAAAAAATACATAATTTCATATCAAAAACAAATTAACAATAGCAGTAATAGAAAATGACATTTATTATTATTTTCACACAATAGATGACGTACCTTCAATGCATGCATGTTCTTGATTTTGACGGCTCCCAGACTCACTAAGTGATCATCATCAAAGTCAAAGTCGTTACGATTCTAAAACAATTCCGCATCATCGCTTTTACCTTTCTTCTTCATCAAGTCGACAAAGGCAACGACTAAAACACTGTAGACAGCATCAGGGAGGAAGTCTGTTGGAGTCACGTAGATTGATACCATCTTCTTTTTTGTCTTTCTCAACTTCAAGTTCTTGTCCTTAACGATACTCATTAGACAAGGGACGATGAATGTTCGATCATCTTCAGATTCCTAATTTAAATATGTCAGAAAATGCATAATGAATGTGAATGTGATACTAATTATTATTAAAGATTACTATAATTATTGTCAGGATTATGTATACTTAAATTATAAAACATATTGAAGAGTGGGTTTGCATGTATGCTCCAAGTAAAATAAAATGCAAAAGCAATGAAAAAACGGTTTACAATCATTGAAAGTTGACTTACGGAACACAAATTTCTTAAACTATAACAAAAAAAAACATGGTTATTTCAATAGCTCCTGCTATCTGTATCTGATAATCGTACGCTGATAAAGGTAGCAGGTGCTACTGACAATTGCGTATGAAACTTCGCATTAATGCATACATACACAGGCCTACATACAGTACATGATAATCAGAGACATTAACTTACCTTCTGTTTTTCAAGAGCAATCCAAAAACCTTCATCAGTTCTATAAAAACTTCAAAGTTGCTTTTGTCTTCCTCTAACTCATGCTTCCACAGATGACGCAGCAATGTCTCACTCAGAATGCCTTTATCAAGCAGATGCCACTTCATCTTCATCACTGCGGGTCTCTAAATAAAAATAAAATCAACAAAAACATAATTTTATTAATAAAAGTGTGTAGAGGATTTTAAATACCATTTTTTCTTTAATTTTAAAGCACATTTAGCATTTATTCTAGAACAGGTCAGGTGTGCAATTCGAAAATGGTCATTAATATACTCTAATTATTTCGGATTTGGTATACTATATGTTAAAATGTGTATGGTCTATCCCGCACGCCAGTTTACTTGATTGTTAATAGTACCTGATCTTCTGTTGTTATTACTTTCGTGAAGATTTCAATCAACATGTGGACGTTAGTAATCACAGTGTTCTTCAACTTCATGTTAGTTGGCGAATACATAATGATTCCGCAATCATTTAAATAGTTGAGAATGTGGATGGTGTTTTCGTTCGGAATTCCACAATCGACAGCAATCTCATTGACCTAAAAAAATATTGAATAAAATATTAGAAACACTCTAATAGTTGTCTATAAGTATAAATATAATCAACATAAAAATATTCATGACAGTGAAATGTTATTACATCTAACCTTGATATAGAAATAATAAAAATAATTAATAATTAATAATAATAATAATAATAATAATTACATTTATTATAATTAATTCTAAAATATTTTTCCACAATTTTATAGAATGTTTATGATAGAATGTTTATGAGGCTAAGGAAATTTCGGAAAAATAGGACAAAATGGTACCTCGTCTAAGGACATGCGCAGTGTTGTTTTCCCAACTTCTTGGATTTTCGACTGGAAATCAACCCATTTTGTGGGAACTGTTTTTGCCATTTGCTTTGTGTAACCTCCGAAATTTTTCTTTAATTCTTTAATCCCTTTGTCATTTGCTGATGTATTATCCACAGCATACATCGTTCTGTCTACGTGAAGTTCGAATGGCATCCCTTTGATTTCTTCAAATATTATTTTGAATATTGCTCCAATCTTTGAATAAAATTAAATAGTACAATTTCATATAATTTCATTTTACCTGTGTTTTTATACATTGAAATTTACAAAAACAACAAAGGTGTAGCACATTAGAGAATCCAAAATTGGGATTCATTCACTTAGAGTGGGGAACCTCCTACCAACGGATTACCTATAGCCCGTTTTATGAGTGCCGTTGACTTTGTAGTACAGAATTCTGGAAGGCAGGGTAGTAGCTGTAGAAAACTATGGTGGGTTGTGGACATTGTGTTGACAGGTGTGGAGTTGAATAGATTGGATGCTCGCCTTCCAATCTCAGGGTCATTGGTTAAAATCCTGTTAGATCCCAAGATATTTCACTCACGATTAAAAAGAACTCCACTACATAAGTCTCATTATGAGTTTATGTAGAGCATCATGTGTTTATGTTTGTCATGTGAAGGGTTTGTCACCTATTTAATAGGACAGTGATTTAGTCGCTATGGGAAAATAAATTAAATTTTAAGGGTGGGTAATAACATTGGTAAACTCCAATAAAAGTGGATTTCAATGATGGACATGGGGGTAAATAAAGATGGGTTAAGGGCCATAAAATTAGCTTCAAGCTGGGAGAAAAACTTCAAGCCAAGGTGGCCCCCGCCTACCGCCGCAAATCATAACTATATTCCTGTGGTGGAGATCATCCTAAACACTTAGGCAAGTGCGTGCAAGGTTTCGTTTTTTGTGGTTTTTCTGGTAATTTAGAATGTTGTGATCCTCATCACCAACACCACCACCATCGTCATCGTTGTCATTGATTGTCATCACCATATTCAAAAAGGCAAATGCTTGCAAAAGAACATTTTGATAAATTATATATTTAAATATCCAGAGTTAAATAACTACATTATTAGTATTATCAAGGCCATTGATAGATACCTTTGGGAACAAGGGGAATATTTGTTAATACTTTGTTAAGTAGAGACTAAAGTTATCACTTTATGTATTAACAAGTCTTTTATTTATTTTTACATTACACAAAATTAGAGTATACTATAATATGTCTAAAACTGAGAGTAATATCTTACCTGATTCTTATCCTCCTCACTTCCCTCTAACTTGTCTTTGTGTGTGCCAACCAAACTGATTGTGGGTGAGGCTATTGTGTCATTTATCAATTTCGTACTTGCATTATATTGTAGTACAGCGTGCTCATATATTGACCGTATCCAGAAAATAATCATTTGGAGATTAGTCATTTCAAACTGATCCTGATAAAAGGAAGAAAGGAATAAAGGAGAGTAAAGAGAGAGAAGAAAATGAGTGTCATAGATAAGACTATTAAATTACAATGTTATCAAACTATCTATACAAAATATAAGAACATAGTTATTATACAAAAAACAGATCTGATATGCAATAAGTTAATGAAAACTAATTCTCTTTATTGCATATTAGAAAAGATGAAATGATTTATTTACTTTTAGTGGACCTCTTGATTTTGCCAATTCATTTAAAGGTTCAAACAAACTAAAAGCAACGACATATGACGATCCATTTGTCAAGAATAACTGGAAGGGAAAAAATAAGTATGTAAACACATGATCGATTAATGAAAAAATATTAAACATAGAGTAACATTAAACATAACCTAAATGTCAACCCCTGTTATCCCAATAATACCTCCAAGGTTATCCCAACTATTATCAGCACAATCGCTAATTGTATTATCAATAATTATAAGGACACAAATGGAAGTAGTCATATATGGGTGATCTTTGGCTTTGCTGATTAAATATTCTTCTCTGTTTGTAAAAGTTTCTACGGTAGTAGCGTATTTTCTTCCGTAATTATTTTTCTAAATCATATTTTCCCATTTACTCTTCATTGTAGATTTGTGTGTTTATCATTTTAATACGGTACATGTTGATGTGAATATGTAATGTTGCTGTATTTATCATAATTTTTTTTAAAGAATTTTTTGCTGCTTCATTGTAGTAGTGCACCAACATGAATATATTTAAACATCCACGAACCCTCGACTGAACGCTACGTGATTGGCTGTGGACCTAATGATAATTGGTCATACATATAATTTAAGCACCTCCAGAACTCTCAAAATATTGAACAGCACGTGATTGGCTATAGTCATATGGTTGAGCTTAAACTTTACAGACGATCAGTTTTTCTTTATTATTAATTAATCGCGTTTATTATAACATCACATGTGAAAGAAAAACAAATCTATTTCTGAGACAGATAATCTACTGTATGTCCAGTGACAATTACAATAATATTAGAATGTAGCCTTGTATACTATAATCAGTAAAGTGCTATGATGCTTACCCTATGTGTTACATAATATGAGATTTGGCCTGCATAATCCCAAAGTAGATAGTAAACCAGATAAGTCCAACAATAGAATATTAAGTCATCATAATTCATAATTATTTATTAATAATTTTAATAATTTTATTTTGTACATAATTGGTTGAAGCATATGAAGGGGGTATATGAGGGTTTATTGAAATATTAAAAACAAAAAGTGGTATTAATTAAGTGGCGATGTGTAGCGTGACGTGCTAGGTTTGTCATGTTCTCTTAAAATTTATAGTCCACTATTGTGTGCTCTTTAGAAATTGGTTACAATGAGAGTGAAAATTGAGACAATAGGGAGATAAGTCTGCCAGCTGGATTTACAGTCAGAAAAGAATCTTCTTGCCCATTAAATTAATGAGGGTATTGAATTTGAAAACAAAAGGGTTAGGTTAGGGGATTATTGGTGACAGATTAGTGACTGTAAATTTGGTGACTATAGTTTGAATTGCCCGGGTGAATGAGATTTAGTGACGTAGCGCGGAATGGACGATGTTTAGTGATAATATCTTAAACTTGGCCCGTATA